TTTTTATTGTGGTTTTCCAGACATAATGAAAAAGAGCATAGATCATCAACATACAACGCAATGAATTTTCATATAGTGACTATCTCCATGTAACCAAAACGAAGATCTAGAAATAGAACATTATCAGATTGGTTTTTTCCTACTTTTGAACTTTATATAAGTGGATCATACAAATTGCCTTCTCTTTTGTGTCTGGCTTCTATTATGTTTGTGAAGTTTATTCATATTGTTCTAGATAGTTGTAGCTGGTTCATTCTTGTTGTCATGTAGCATTACCTTGTATAAGACATGCAGTTTATTCATTCTGCTACTGATGGGGTATTTGAGTTGTTTCCAGTCTTCCACCATTATGAATATTGCTGATATAAACATTCATGTTCATATCTTTTGGTGAACATACACTTTTCTACAATATATAAGATATTAGATATACATAGGTTAGGTGAGTATGTTTACACATATACATTGGGTGGACTGTGGTGGACATTTTCAATTCCCATATCTTCAGATGAGAACACTGAGGCTTGAAGAAGTTGAGCTAGGAAGTAGTGCAGCTGGGCTGCAAATCCCAACCTGTCTGGCATTGGAGCTCAAGCTTTCTAACCATTATGTCTTACTGCCTCCAACACACAAGCCATTTAGAGGTACTCATGATGTGCCAGACTGGTTGCTACCATTGAGTGAAATAAAAAGATAGGAAGGCACAGTCACTCTAGAAGGAAAATGATGGCTGTTGGTGAAAGGCACATGGGTGTGATGAGAAGCCTAAGGAAAAGGGGGTCATTCGTATCTTGGAAGATCACAGGAGGCTTCCTAAAGGAAAAAGCATCTAAAGAGAAAAGATGGGAGAAGATTCTGGGCATGCCAGGATGAAGGGAAGGACTGCCAGGCTGAGGGCCCTCAGAGATCACCTTGTCCAGTCACCGTTATCCATTCACCCATTTTTTCACTGCTGGCTTCAAATTTATTTTTTTTTTAATGTTTTATTTATTTCTAGGAGAGAGAGAGACAGCATGAGCAGGGGAGGGTCAGAGAGAGAGGGAGTCACAGACTGAAACAGGCTCCAGGCTCTGAGCTGGCAGTCAGCACAGAGCCCGACGCGGGGCTCGAACCCACAAACCGCGAGATCATGACCTAAGCGAAAGTCGGACGCTTAACCAACTAAGCCACCCAGGTGCCCCGGCTTCAAATTTATATAGCCAGTCTTGACCATTCCTCTGATCTCTAAACTTTTTTTTTTTTTAGGTGGATGAAAAATCTGCATCTCAAATTTAACATTGCCAAGACAGGGCTCCCAATCCTGTCCACTCACACTCCAAACTGCTCCTCTTCCAACCTTTCTTGCTCTTTGGAACTAGCAGTCACTAATTACTCAGGCTCCAAAACACAGCACCGTCTTTGCTTCCCGCATCCAACCCATGAGCACTCCCCATCAGCTGTATCTACAAAGCACACCCTGAATCTGACCTCTCCTTACCACCTCCCTGCTACCCCTCTGGTCACGACTGTCGCCATGGCTCACCTGGACGACTGCAACAACTTCCTCCCTGTTCTCCTGCCTCCATGCTCTTCCCGAAGGCCACACGGAGAAGTCTATTGCCTCTTCCCGCTTCTGGTGGCTCCAGATGTTCATTGGCTTGGGACTTCCCAACTCCAGTCTCTACCTCTGTCTCCACATGGCCTTCTTCCCTGCATCTTCTCTCACTATTATTGGTGACTTCCTCTTATTGGCCATTAAATTTAAGGCCAACCTGGATAATCCATGATGATCTCATCTTAAGATCCTTAACTTAGTTACATCTGCAAAGATCTTTTTTCCAAATAAGGTCACATGCATAGGTCCTGGGTGGACACACCTTTTAGGGAGCCATCATTCAACCCAGTACAGAGGTGAATCTCAAAAGAAAAAAAAAAAAAAGCTAAAAGAGTTTAAACCAAGTTTAAATTTTAGTCCTCCAGTGAGTGAGTTCCTTTTCAAAGCATAGAAGACTCCTGCTCTGCACATACTTGCTATTTCAGCACTGACTGTCCATGCATCACTTCAAAGGTCATTGTGAGGAGGGAGTGCCTGCACTGTGCTCACCGCAAGTCTAATTTGGGGCTATGAGTCTAGCCAGGGGCATTGCTGCAACCCCAAACCCACCAGATCCTCTCTGCTCACTACTGGGGAGTATTGCCACTACTATTAAGGGGCCCAAATAGTTTCTTTTTAGAAAATGACCTTTCAAAGAGAGCCACCAGCTATGTGGATAGTGAAAGGAAAGAAGGGGTACCTTGGTGGCTCAGTTGGTTAAATGTCTGACTTTGGTTCAGGCCATGATCTCATGGTTGAAGAGTTTGAGCCCCATGTCAGGCTCTGTGCTGACAGCTCTGAGCCTGGAGCCTGGAGCCTGCTTCATAATCTATATCTATATCTCCCTCTCTCTGCCCCTCCCCTGCTCTCACTCTCTTTCTCTCCCTCTCTCTCAAAAATAAAAAAAAAATTAGGAGCACCTGGTGGCTCAGTTGGTTAAGCGTCCGACTTCGGCTCAGGTCATGATCTCACGGTTTGTGGATTCAAGCCCTGCGTCGGGCTCTGTGCTGACAGCTCAGAGCCTGGAGCCTGCTTCAGATTCTGTGTCTCCCTCTCTCTCTGACCCTCCCCTGCTCACGCTGTCTCTCTCTCTCTCTCAGAAATAAATAAAACATTTAAAAAAATTTTTTTAAATTAAAAATAAATAAAAATAAAAATTAACAATTTTTTTAAAAAAAGAAGGAATCCAAGGATGGTAGGCAACCTCTAAGATGGATGCTCCCCAATGATCCCCCCCTCCTGGTTTTTATGTCTTTGTGCCGTCCCGTCCCCCTCAAGCATGGCCTGAATCTAGTGACTTCCCTCTACTAAATACAATACTGTGAGAATGTCAGGATATTATTTCTGAAATTAGGTCACAAAAGACTGTGGCTTCGGTATTGCTCACCTTTCCTCACTCTCTAGGTTTCTTGCTCCTAGGGAAGCCAGCTTCCATATCAAGCTGCCCTGTGGGAGGCCCATGTGGCAAGGAACTGATATCTCCAGCCAACAGCCTACAAGAACCCGAGGTTCGAGGTTCAGCAGCCCTCAAAGAACTAAAGCCTTCCAACAACCTTGTGAGTAAGCTTGGAAGTGGAGCTTTCAAGGCCTGCAGACAGCCATAGGCGTGAGCTTCAAACCTGATCTCACCCACCCAGTTGAGCTTTCCCATACTGCAGCCCTGGCCAATGCTTTGATTGGAGCCTGTGGAAGACCCTGAGCCACCGGCCCCCAGCTAAGCTGTGCCCCCAAAATCTGTGAGATGATAAGCATTCGTCGGTTAAGCCACCAAGTGTTGGACTAATTTGTTGTACAGCAATAGATACACTCAGATACAAATTTCTAGGATATATTCAACCATGTGGAAGGCTCATGCTATAACTGTAGCTGTGTTGACAAATTCGAGGATTCACAGATATTAGCTCGTATCCCTTCTGGAGAATCTACATCTCCTCCCACTCCTTTTTATATTTTTAAATAAACATAATATCAAACTATAGTGACAGTTACACATTCTATTTTTTTTCCTGCTTAATGTGTTATGAGCATTTCCTCATCTCATTAACTGTACTTCAAAGCATTCTGTATTCCTAACACCTCTCCATTTGATGAGTGCACCAACATTAATTTAGTTACTCCCCTCTCTCATGTTTTGAGCTTAAGGTGTGGTTTTAACTCTTTGGTTCACATCCATCCGTGCGTGCTGGCCCCTTCCAGCAGGGCTGATGGGAGAGTATGGTGTAGGTAGGAGGCAGGATCACCTGTGTTTACATGTTCCTGCTGCTACATCAAGTGTATAACACTTCCTATGCGTCCTTTGCTTGTCACTTAACACCCCCAAGCCTCAGTTTCCCTTTCTGAACAGTGGGAATAATAACCATACCTTCCTCACAGAGTACTCAGACGCATATTAGAGGCACAACCTGGAGTTAGCCCAGGTGAAACACAGCACAGTACCTGACAAATTTTAGGGAATACGGACACAAGCCAGACCACAGTATCATCACACACAGACCCTGTGCTTTGTTAAGTCTCAGTCCATGGTGCCTTATATCAACTCTTGTCCCAGACCTCAGCTGACCTCTGAGGAAAAGTATCTTGGCTTTTCTTCCACCAGTCTGGCCTCCACGAACCTGTGATGACTCCTGCTATGGCACCATCCGCAATCCTGCAAACATCACACCTTGCCTGGCTGCGTGGCCCTGGACAAGTCCATCTCATCTCTGGGCCTCAGCTTCCTCATCTGCAATATGGGGAGGGGGTTAGATTGGGAGGCCCATGAGGGATTGCCCACCTCTAAGACTCTAGACTATTCCCCCTTCTTTCAAAGGCCCTTCAGTTTCAACAATGCAGAGTACAACCAGACCTTCAAAAAACTGGCCAAAGTGAAAAGAATTGGAAAACACTTTAATTTTTTTACTATAACATGTATGTCAAGACTGACACTCAGCATCTTGGAGTGTGTCAAGAACTAGCATAGTGTCTGTATGAAAATCCAGGTGAAGAATTGGGGGTTCTCGTCTCAGGCCCCTTACAGAGCTTGTGCTGAGCCTGAGTGAGAACCCCAACTCCAACCCCAGCAAATACTACAGCTGAGCTCCTGCCTGGGAGAGGCCGGGAGCTATTGGGGAATAGCCTGGAGAGCTGACCCTGGAGAATCTCCCAGAGATCTTGGTATGTCTATGGGTGACATAGAAATCCCCGGGGAGGCTGTTCTAGGCTTCTCCCCAACTCCGACTCACAAGTTCATTTCCTTGGCACTGAAAACACTGCTAGGGAAGAAAGGGTCCACTTCCGGGCTCCCGCCCGGCCTCTCCCCATCTAAGCTTGGACTCTGGACCAGCCCCAGCTAGGGCGAGGTTTCAAGGACTGTGGGGATCTGCGGCCCCGGAGAGCACAGACCAAAAGAAAGAGCTCCTTCTCGCTCCCGGCACTTAATCCTCTTCACACCGGCCCCCCACTTTCTAGGACTTCAGCTCCCACGGTGCCTGGGCCAGGATCCCACCAAGACAAGGAGGAGCAGATGGTGGCGTTTCAGGTCCCCAAAAAGGCCATGTGACCTTGAGCACGTCACATGGCTTCTCTGGCCTCTGTCTCCTTATCTAAAAAAGCGGGGTGACAATCTGGATTTTGCAGTGACCATGATGTTGAAATAAGGCAATGGCAGTGAAAGGGCCTGGCAGAGTGGTGGGTCGGCCAAGAGAGGCAACGTCCAGTGATAATGGAGGAGGTGCCTGTGTGCTGAGGCTGCTACTTCAGCCCCAGGAAGCCGCTGGCCCAGCTCCAGGGGGTGGGTTAGAAGTGAACTTGAGCAGAGGCGAGCAGGGGGAAGGCCAAGAGTGGGTGGGGACCAGGATCCACACCCAGTCCTTGCTGATCTGTTGCTGATAACATAGGCCTGTGCTCCCTACCCTGCAGGCAGGCCAGTCCCAGAGCAGGGGAGGGGCTGTCAGGTGAGGACCCCAGCTTCCCGCTGGTGGGGTGCTCCGCCACAAGGGGCTGTAGAGGGGCAGGTTGGGCTGGGGGGCTGGGCAGGAGGGTGTTGAACTTGGAGGAAGGCCTCAGCAGGCTAGAGCCAGTGGGTGAGGCTGACTGGACAGGGCTGGGGGACAGTTGGGGAGGAGGTACAGCGACCGCGATGGAGCCAGGGGACAGAGAGGGCAGGAGGGACAGATGGAGGCCGGAGGAACCATGAGGCTGCGGATCTGGAGAGAGCTGGTGAGCCAAGGGAGAAGAGGCCAGGGTCTGGAACAGGCCCGGCTGTTCCTGGAAGCCATATTGTCCATCAGGCATAGGGTCTGGGGGCCGCTCAGTCTGGCCCCAGCAGCCAGGGGGCACCGGATCCAAGCAGGTGGCACAGTCCATCAGGCACAGCCGCTCATGCGCACGCAGGGTCTGGCTCCACCACAGCAGCTCGGCCTGCAGGCCCTGGATCTCCTTCTGCAGCAAGCGGTTGTGTTTCTCCAGCGTCTCGTGCTGCTGGAAGCAGAAGCAGATGGGCCAGGAAGGGGGTGTCAGCCAGCATTAGGGTCCCAGCAGGAGCCCTGTACCCTGCCCCCAGGCGCCTTAACTTAGGAGTAAGATACTACTACCATCTGAATGTCTAAGCTAGGGCCCCTTGGTCCCTCTCTGGCCAGCTCTGCACCCCACCCCCACCCCCACCCCGCACATCTTGCCCGTTCTACTACTACTGGGGTAGATTGGCCGGCCCTCCGTCCCCGCCACCAGTGCCCTGAGCCAGCCGTTCTCCACCAGCCTGCCCCTTGCCACTCACCTGGGAGCTCCACCGGCCTCCTAATCGGGGTTCCCCTCAAGCCACTCTGTCCTCTCGGCCCAGAAGAGCCATTTGGGAATTGCATCATTAACTCGTAGGTTAAAGGCTCCCACACTGCCCTGAGCACGGAGGCCCCGGCTCACGCCTCCTGTTCCCCTTCACTTCCTGTTCCTCCAAGGGACCCTGCTTTCTGCATTTCCTGTCTTCTCTACCTGGACACTCTTCCAGCAACCTCCTTTCCTGGGCTAATCCTGATGTGGCCTTCTCATGGTCATTCTGTCATACACACCTCGGGGCTGCTTCGTGACACTGCCAGACCTTCTGGGTGCCCAGAACTCACCCACTGAGGCACTATGGGAGGAGCCCATATTCACGGAGGAATATGTTCTACTCAGCACCCTTGAGTCAGAACCGAGTAGTTCTGAGCTGCTGGACCCTGGGACCTGAGAACCCACTAACAGGATGTGGTTCTAAACAACCATTTACAGTGGCAGCAACGAAAGAACTTTCTTTCCACGGCTCCCAAAGCTGAGTGACTTCCTCTGGTTCCCTCCACAACCTGTCCTTTTTGTGGACAATTTTTAAAAGGAGAAAAGGGGCAAGGATGTTTGACATAAAAAGGTTGCTTCGGGCATGAACTCAAAATTCTAACTTCCAGGCCGGTCTCTGCCCGGGGAATACTGCTTTCAAAACATGTCAGTAGATCGCCTCTCACTTCAATTTCTCCAAAGGTTTCCATTCAGCTCCAGAAATTGAGTCACTCATGGGTTCGTTCGTTCATCGGCCACCTCCAGGCTGCCCACGGGTTATCGCCTCAGGGAAAGGCTTCCCCAGTTAGGTTTCCGCCTCTCCACCCTCCCCACTGTATTTTTCCCCATAGCACTTACGACCAGCTGACACCCCAAATACCTCATGGGTAATTTATTTGTCTGGCTAGCCACCCCACCCCACCCCCGTGAAAATACGAGCCCTGGAGAGTGTGGGGTGGGCTTTCGTCTGCTGTGTTCGCAGCTCTGTCTCCAATGCTGAGACTTAGACCTGTCACCCAGGAGACATTCAATAGGCATTTCTGGAAGGAGTGAATATATGAATGCATGAAGTCCCTCTCCCTGCTGGGCAGCCACCATGCTAGACATCAGTCCTCACTCATACAATCTACAGGGTGCTGCTCCCTGTCCGGGTCCTTCATTTGCCTGCCATGCCTTTTCTTACCTTCATCCATTTGGAAAACTCCTATTCATCTTTCAAGACCAGCTCAGACTTCATCTCTAGTATCATCCTGACACTACTCCCTGTGTGTTCCCCTGCCCGTGTGTTCCCTGCCCGTGTGTTCCTAGAGCGCTTTATTCTGACTCTATCATTCGCTTCACAGGGCATTACCGAGTTCCTTCAGTTTGTCAAGCACCGTTCCGGGTCATGGGGAAATAAATAGCAAGGAACGGAATAGTTCCCTGCCTTCACGTTGCTTACAGTCTGGCGAGGGAGACAAGCGACAAACATCTGAATATGTAACTGGAGTTCAGTGCTAACAAGAAAAATAAAGCAGAGTAACAAGCAGACGTCTCTTTAGATCGGAAGGTTGAGAAAAGTCCTTCTGGGGAGGTGACATTTAAACCAAACAACTGAAAAGATGTGAGGATCTAGCTGTACTGTTCTCTGAGAATAGAGAGAACAGTCTATGCAGAGCCCCTGAGGTTGGATGTGCTTGGCCAGTGAAGGAATAGGGAGAACAGGGTGTGGGATGTTAGGAGAGGAGGGCGGATGGGTAGGAGTGGAAGACGCAGAGCACAGGGCCTTTGGCGTGGAGGGCTGTGAATTTCACTCATCACTCTAAGAACTAAGGGGTATGTGGCCTTCCCAAGGGTCAGGTCCTAAGCCCAGCTCTTAATCCTTTCCCTGGGATGAAACTGGTAATCTCCTTGTTCTCTGCACAGAGGAAGAAGAAAAGCTCTAAGGGTCAGGTTACGATTCAAGGTCAAGTTACCATCCAAGGTCAAGAGGCAAGTACAGTGGAACCCTCTCCTGCCCCACGCCACCCCCAAGGCTCCTTTGCCTCCTTTAACCTCCATACGGGTCCTGCCAGGGGACAGGGGTCATTGTCCCCATTTTTTTTTGGATGAGGACAGTGAAGCTCAGTGAAGGAAGTGGCTTGTAGCTTTGACTGCCACAGCTGGGACTCTAAAGCCGGCCCACCTGACCTTGAACCAGAGTTTCTCATAGTGTGAGTGCTGAGTTCTTCTGTTTGCCTCTACTTCTTGCCTCCTCTCTTTAGATCAGGAGGCGCCTTAAGGGCAGGGCTGGGCCGCAAATGCACATTTGTGTCCCCAGAGCCTCCTCAAGCACCTCTCTCAAACTCAGGTGACCTGGAAACATGCAGCGGTGTAAGGGGAGCTGCTCATAGGCAGATGGAGACCAGGTGGCGAGGCCAGGTGAGTGGAGTCAGGGTGGGGAAAGGAAGGCACCCCCCACCTGGTGCAGGGCGTCCGCCTTGTCCGTGTGCTTCTGCCGGCTGCGCTGGGCGGCTGCGCGGTTCTTCTGTTTCTTCTTCAGCCTCTGATGCTCCTCAGGGCCCTACAGGGTGTAAGGCAGAAGGCTCAGGGGTCCCGCCAGGGACTTGACCCTCTGTCCAGGCCATCTGTAACGCCACACTCTCCCCAGTTAAATTCCCCGGTTGGGGGGGGTCTCCTTACTCCTAGAGGCCCCCTCTGTCTCCCCGGGCACCCACACACGGCATCGCCCGTAGGGCCCACCTTGTCGGAACACCAGCCTCACCCACACGCCCTGCTTATGGCTCTCGATGGGGGAGGACAAACAGAGAAGCCCGGAACTTCTTCGAACCCGGAGAGAACCGACTTCACACCCACACTCTCCTTAGGAGCCATCTGGCTCTGGGCAGATCACTCCCTTCTCTGAACCCAGCCCGAGGCACCACTGCCTTCCTCACAGGCCATAAAACAGGCGTGAGCTTCACCTGCAAGGGCAGGGCCAGGGTCCCATTCATTCCATGAGCCGGCACCCAGCTCAGACCCGAGGCTGATGTTCAGTCACTCACCAGTCAGCGAGCACCTACTGTGTGTCAGGCACTGAGCTAGGGGGACGGAGCAGCAAACACGCCAGACAAAAGCCCCTGCCCCTAAGTTGCTCACATTCTAGCGTGGCAGCAACCTGGAACGGATGCCTGAGTGGACTCAAAGTTCACAGCGCTAACCCTCCCGCTCCCCTGGTCCCCACGTTAGGGGGTCCAGAAAATGTAGACAAGATATTTAACCCAAATGCCCAGAGCTTTGGAAGGTCAGGCGAGAGAGAATGTTGGAGACCCCTCAGCCCCAATCCCCCCCGCTAAGTCACCCTGGGCCTGTGTTCTGACTGCAGGGAGCTCAGGGGAGACTCTGGCCTCCCTGGCTGAGGACCCTATGCTGCTCGGTTCATGGTCACAACAGGCCCAGTCCAGGTGCTGGGGGCGCCGAAGCTGGAGCCCGGGGGAAAGTCCTGCAGTTGACAGAAAGGAGTAGGATTTTGGTGCTTGGGTCCTGCCTGGGAGAGGGGGCAGGGCCTCGAAGGTGAGCCGAGTCTGAGAATTTGGGGAGGGAAGGGAATGTTCCCATAAAGGCAATGAAGGGAGGGGGGGTTAGGAGACAGGTTGCTCCAAGGCCAAGTTCTAAACTGGAGGCTGGCTCTGAAATATGAGAGCCCAAAAGCCCTCATTTCAATTGCCTGGGGAAACTGAAGCCCAGAGAGGAGGTGTGTGGGTCCCAAGGCCACACAGCCCTGATCACATCCCTCCCTGCCCGGGAACTGGGGACCCTCGGGCATGTTCCCCACGCTCTGCCCCTGGTTCCCTGTACTCACCGTCCTGGTCAGCAGCCCACTGCCCTCGCAGAGGTGCATGGCTCGGGCAAGGGGCGGGCAGAGGCTCACTACGCGGGCTCAGGTGTCCCTCTGCCACTGTGACCTCCTGGTGCCCTCTGGGGGCCCAAGGAAGTGGCAGCTCTTTAAATCCCCGGTGACCACTCCGCCCCCAGCAAGACAAGTTTCAGTTTCTTCTAAAGCCACCGGCTGCTCAGAATCCCTGCCTCCGGTTGGCTCACGTGGCTGGAATTTCCTAACATGAACTGGCCTTCCGGTTGGGCCCCTTCTCTGGAAAGAGAATGACAGAGGGTGGCCGGAGGAGGGGGGAGACCAAGAGCCAATTTTGGGGAGGGTGTTCTGGGGGAGGGAGGGCAGGCTGCCAGGCACAGAACCGAGAGGAGAAGTCAGTAGGGGACGTAGGGCTCATGTGGGACATGGGAGAAACTCTGGGCTCTGGAATTGCAGGGGTCCAGGTTCACAGCCCACCTCTGGCACACTGGAGCTGTACAGCTTTGAGGAATCGATTCACCCTCTCTGAGTCTGAGTGTCTTCATCCCTAAAGGGTCTGGGGGATGATACAATATCTACTCACGGTCTTCATGTAGGAACTAAGCAAGGTAATTCAACCTCCCCCCAAACTCTCTGACACCACTGTTGAAGCAAGTGTGCAAAAATAAGCAATGGCCCTTAAATAAGAGAACAGATGGATAAATTACTGTGTTTTCATTCAACAGACCACGCAGCAGTAGAGGGAAGGATGTCTAGCGGTTAGCGGAACAGCTTCCAAGCTATGTGACTTGGGTGCATAATTTCATCTTTCTGTGCCTTTTTTCCCCCAATCTATAAAGTGGGGCTAAAAATAATTCTGTTGTGAGCAGCCGATGAGTTCAGGAAGGCAAGGCACCTATAGTCACGCCTGGTGCGGATTAAGAGTTCAACAAATATTTGCCCTTATGATCTGGTGGATGATCAGCGCTGCACATATCATCATTCCTGAAAGTCTGCAATGTCCAGTTCTTTGAAAACCACAAGCGGCAGCAAGATATAAACACCATCATTTCCGTCGCATTTGCTAATATGGGTATGCAAATATGGAATAAAGTTATGAAAATATGCATGTGAACGAGAAACACAAAATTCAGGGAGTGGGGGGGGGGTATGCGCTGAGGGGAACACAGGGGAATTCCACTTGTGTCTGTGCTGTTTTGTTGCTTACACTCTGTGCTGATATTCTTCTCTCTATGTCGGGGTACACCTGAAATGTTTTCTAATAAAAACTTCTATTAAAGACCTTGCTAGCCCTGAAACCTCAGGTCAAACCTGCATGGTTGGAGACCATGTTTGGAAAGGACATCTGTCTGGGGGAACCCAGAGGAGCCAGGAGCCCCTGTCTGAGAACAGCATAGCAACTGACGTGCAGCACACAGGGTCCCTTGGCCTGGTGACTAGAGCCTCCAGGGATTGTGCCTGAGTCCTGAGGGCTCCATGCTGATGGAGTGGGACCACAGGAATGGCAAGTAGTGTAGACATGATCTTCTGGTAGGCAATGGTGTCCTGGAGTGCTGTGCTGAGAGGTTCACTGCTGCCTCTGAGCTTCTTAGAAAAGAGCACTGCAAATGATTCGCAGCATCTACCGTGCCGTGATCGATTAGTGATGTCTGTCATGGGCAGGGCTTGGACGGTGACCATCTCCTGCTCTGCCTAGAACTGGGCACAATACCAGTCTGGGCTTTAGAGTTAGACTTGACTCTGACGCTGTGCACTTATAAGGTCTGGAGCCTGGAGCCTCAGTGTTGTCACGTGTATGCTACAGATGACAGAGAAATCACACCTATTTTACAGAGCTGTTTTGAGGACGGAGAAGAAGGAGCTGAGAAGGGAGCTCTGGGCATGTTGTGAAGTGCTATCCAGCTAGAATCCATTCCCATTACTGAGATTTGCGGGAACACAGGATTAATGAAGCCTCGTGATTTTAAATGCCCAGGTGGGTGTAGATTGGGCTTGACGGCTGGGCCCAGCCGTCCTTGCTTGCAAAGAGCATGGGGGCAGAGGCTGACTGGGGCACCCCATGCAGTGAGGCTGCCTCGATTTCTCTGGATTATTTTTGTTTCTCGGAAACCAAGAGGGCCAGGTCGCCTTGCCTGAGGCGGGCACCTAGGGGGCTCATTAAGCCAGTCCCTGAGCTCCACAGGGAAGGATCTGGAGAAGCCACACACATGATGTAACCAAGGGAGAAAAACATTTGTGGGGCGGGGAGGGCAGTAGCTAGGGCCCAACTGCTCCCCGCCTCAGCCCCCCAGCCCCAGCCTTGGGCCACCCGTCCTTCCCTCTCCAGCCCCTGGCTACGGGTGGAAGGGAGACAGTCAGCAAGTGCGCCTGTGACCCCTCCCAGGAGGCCACCGCCCGAGCGTTTATGGCTTGCTCTCCCTGAGGAGTGGCAGGGATGAGGGACACAGAGTGGCTAATGTTTAACCCTGAATGGCTGTGTGTGGCTTCTCCAAAGAGGTGGCTGCCTTTGCAGGCTGGCGGGGCAGGCCTTGGGGCCATCCAGTCCAACCTCCCACTTAGAAGATGAGGAAATGAATGCCCAGAGAGGCCAGGCAGCCTGAGGGGGAGAGGGGCAGAGCCGGAGGACACACATCTCTCCTCTAAGCCCTCAGTCCTCCATCCTGATCCTCTCATTCAAAGCCCGCAGTCCCGTGGGTGAAGGCTGGGAGGGCTCCCCAACTGGAGCTACAGAGTGAGTTCTTGGGCAACAGGATCGTTGCCTGTCTTACCCTCTGAGGTATCTCCCCAGCGCCCCAAACTGCTCCCACGTGAGAGGTGCTCGATGAATGAATAACCGAATAAAAGTCCAGCAGACAGCTTGCCAGAAACCCCAAAAGCCTTCTGGACGAGTAAGGAAACTTCTGCTTTACTCATTCCCACGGCGCCCGCCCTGGGGTCCTGCGGGACCATCCTCAACCAACCTCCTCCTTTGACCAGGGAGGAAACAGAGGTACAAGGAGGTGCAGTCACACAGCCGATGTAGGAGAAGCTAGGACGCCTTCTCCCAATTCCTTCCCACAGCTCCCGGGTTGAAGATATGCCAGGGGTCTCCGGTTTTCCAGGGATGAAGACCCTCTTTCGAGGTCTCCCCGCCATGTGCAACCCTCGTCTGAAGGCTGATCGCCTCAGGGCCCCTTGAGGGAGCTTCAGATGATGGGTCGCAGAGAAAGAGGCCAAGTGGCTGCTGGCGGGGCTGAGGCTGGCCATCGACTTGCCATCTGCAACTGTGGATGGGCCTGTGTCGAAGCCACGCCTCAGTTGGCACAAATTCACCAGGCACCGGGGTGTGAGACACACGCCCAGCACATTAGCCGACAGAGCAGGGTGTGGCAGCACAGGGCACTTCCTTACTGAGGAAATCAGAGCAGGCTTTCCAAGGAAGAAACCCTTTACCAAGGACATCGAAAGATGGGCAGGCTCCATCCCGGGACCCGGAACTTGACCTTGGGCAAGTTACGGGACTCTTCATGCCTCTTCTGTAAAATGGGCATAATACTAGAAGGATTTGATGACGTCCCATGTGTAAAGGGCTTAGAACAGTGCCCAGCACACAGCAAGGCACATAAGGATCTGTTAAACTTTTAGCCAAGGCATTTGACAAATATCTGATAAATTTTTGTTCACATAACCAAAGGCTTGTATCTTGTTCCATTATTATTATTTATTGGAAGGAAAAACATGGTGGAATACATGAGGGATAAGGTTGTTTTTTCCTGGGGCACCTGGGTGGGTCAGTCAGTTAAGAGTCTGACTGATTTTGACTCAGGTCATTATCTCACAGTTCATGAGTTCGAGCCCCATATCAGGTTCTGTGCTGACAGCATGGAGCCTGCTTAGGATTCTCTCTCCCCCTCTCTCTCTGCCTTTCCCCTGCTTTCTCTCTCTCTCTCTCTGTCAAAAATAAATATTTTTAAAAAGATTTTTTTACATAATGAAATACGTTTTTAGTGAAAACAAGTCAATGTTTGTGTCCGTGTGTACGAAGCAGCATTTAATATTTCACATAAATTGCCAAAATTCCTCATGCTTACAAAGGAGCATCAATAAAAGGCGAGAAACTAGGGCTCTCGGGATTCTTCATTTCCTAAATGATCTAACTCAAGCGTAAGTTACTGACAAGTCTAGAGTGGATCAGCTTCAGGGACAGCTGGATCATGAGGCCCATACAATGCCATCAGGAGCCAGAGTCTCACCTCGGCTGTTTTCTTACCAAAACAGAAATACCAGCTCAGCTGCTCCAGGAGGGGGGTGCATCCCTCCTCCCGTCCACCCGCCACTTTCCCAGAACTTCCAGCAAAGGGCCAGGCCTTGGTTTGGCTCGAGTGGTGCGGCTATTGCTGGCATCAGTCACTGTGGCCAGGAAATAAGATAGGCAAGGGGTCCGAGGACCACCCTGGAGCCCAGGGGAAAGGGTCAGCCCCATCTTAACTCTAGGGGCTAGGGGTGAGGGAGGGGCAATTTCCAGAGAGCTCCTGGCAGGAGAAGAGAGAAGGGGGAACGGATGCTGGGCTGATCCACCACCTTGGCTCAGATCCAGATACGGGGAAGCTGCCGCAGGGGGGCAGGGTACACCCCTTGCAGAAGGGATGGATGCAATGCCCCCCACGTCTCTGACACCAAGCTTGCGCTCTCTTTCCGTTGCTTCCCAGGGACCCATGGGGCAGGAAAGTAGAGGCTTGTTAAGGGGAAGGTTCCTGATGAACTGAATGCCAGGCAGGGACTGGGGCAGCGACGTGTGGGGACTCCCCTGTGCAGAGGGAGGAGAGGACTGACTTTCACTTCAGTACAGCGCCCTGTGAGCACTCATCAAAGCTGGAATCTGCAAATAGCCGGGTCTCCCAGGAACTGGATGATTTCACCAGGGCTCTGGGACCCCATCACTGAGTCAGTGGGAGCTGGTGCATGTTCCCACCCCGGCCCTGCCGGGCCTTCTGCTGCCCCTAAAGCTTTTTGCTTCTGATTCTCTGCTGTTCTTTCAACGTCTTTCCAGG